ACCATGGACAAATACCAGATACAGTGCATTTTTTCTTCAGAGTATGTCAAGTGCATTTTTCTTCAGAGTACTCCAGTGTTTGTCCAGTGCATTTTTCTTCTTCTTTCATTGAGTAACACAAATTAGACCTATCATTGTGTGATATGCAGGAGTACTTATATTCTGTGTCATTGCTGGAGACAGTCCCCAATTCTTATATTCTGTGAGATGCGGTCATATTTTACTCCACTTCTTATAGTATTTGGAGTACATTGCCTGATGTTATACTGCTTGCAAGGTTTAGAAATGGGGATTAAAAACAGTGATTTAATTCTCCAATTCAGTTTTCAATTTCAAGTTTAAAATTCAATTTCAACAGTGATTTTACCCCCAGTTCAACAGTGATTTTACCTCGATTTCAACAGTGATTTCAGCAGCAGAGTCGGGGACTAAAAAAATCTTAGCACTGGTTATTATATGATTTATTTATATTAACAGCATAATAATTACTTGTAACTTGCTTATCTTTAACTGATAAAAGTACATTTACACTTTGAGACAGAGGGAACCTGAAATGGACTCGGCTAAAATATCACTGTGGTTACTATCCACAACATTATTTCAGCTAAAATGGACACATCATCACGTCAATTCACTATTGTTTCCTTCCGCTTTTTTGATACTAACGCGCCTTGAAATTCCTTGATTCTCATACGAGGAATCCAATCAACCAACGGCTTATAGCTACATAGAAACTAGAGATACTTTTGCCCTTGGGAGCAACGGCAACACACAAGAAACTGCCAAAACAATCTTCATCAAACACTAATAATATGTTGATTAGATGATCCCAAAGTGAGTGACAAAATGTTGGTATGATACTTTAATCATCATCACACATTTGGACTATAAATGCAATGCAATACTTTAATCATCAACACAAGGTATCAACTAATCACGGTACTTGAGTCACACAACGTTTCCTCTCAAAATCACGATTTTCTTCTACACATGACATGATGATCCTCATTGTTCAGTCTGATCGTCATAATATCGGTGTAGCTGATTGATACGGCGTGTGACTCGGTGAACGCCATTTTATTGGTTGTGAATCAAAGATACATCAGAAACCAGCCAGGGCAAGAGAAAATTAGGGTGTTCATTGACGCAGAAGGCTTTCCCTAAAAAAAACTTGGTGAATGCCATCATCAATCACCAGAAGCAAAGACGTGTGCGTTGCCGCGCCATTTTTGTCCTTTGTCATTTATATAAAGTTATTTTTTTTCTTGCTATATCTACTGCATTATGTCTCTTCTACAAAATTCGATAGGTCAATGACATAAAAATACAATATAGTGTACAATAACGTTGTTTTCTAAGGAAGAATGCAGTTTGACTGTCCTATAGTATAATTCATTTTCTTTTCATCTAAAATTGTAGTGATATCAAAGTAAGTTATAGAACTTGAAGAGCATAGATAAACATGATAAAAATGAGAAACTCACGACACCCCATGTACAACAGGAGCATCATCAGCAATGGGCATCATAAACACTTGACCGAAGTTTTAAATAGCGCGCTAAGCATCTTAGCGGCGGGCCTCTTCCAAATGCTATAGCGTGCTATAGCGGAGCTATAGCGCGCTACTTAAAATGTTTGTTCATTTGTTTGGACCAAAGTCTCTTAGCGCAAGACTTTTTGTAAACGCTATAGCGTGCTATAACGGAGCTATAGCGGGCTATTTAAAACAGTGCACTTGACTACAGTGTATCATGCATATAGAAACCAGTAGTCTCTAGAGAAAATAAACACCTCAAAGTCTGACAAAGCGTAGGAGCACCTGTGCTATCAAAGCCAAATGTCACTTATATCTTTAGGGAGTTTTAAAGGCAAAAAAATGTAACAAAGAAAAACAACTACAACACGAATAGGTTTGCACGTCATTGGCAATGTTCATGGCCCTTGTCAGCTATGACGCCGGCATATACTCTTCCTCCTCCATCCCCTGCAATTCATTCTCCTCAAAGGCAGCCAAGCCTTCCTCCTCCTCTTGCAGTGTCAGCTCATTCTTGTCAGGATTCTCTAGACATGGTCATTATACACCTCCTCCTTAGTGCCTCGTCTGCTTTTGTCTTCAACAACTTTGGCACATCCTCATCATGTGTGTTTGGTTGCCTTACCGAGTGGCAACAAAGAAATAAACCCGATGTGGTCGCAGGAGCTAGGGACAACACAAGAGGGATGCAAGGACTTGGATTATTGGAGTCAGTGGTGCATGCTTAAAGCACCTCCAATGCATGCGATATATTTAATTCCCTCACCTACAAAGATTTCGCGTGTTAATTTCTCTCGGCTCCAATAGGTGTCTTAAAACCTATCTTATAGACGCTCTAGTATATTTTATCAAAGGTCCCATAACTAGCAATATACATGCAATGACAGCATTTTAAAAGACTATACTAACGAAAATATTCCAAGTGGCTCACTCACTGATATCAAACAAAATTTTACTATCTAATACTCCCTCTATCCCATATTAATTGTCACTGAAATGGATATATCTAGATGTATTTTAGTGTTACATACATTCGTTTGAGTAACAGATAATATGGGACCAAGTGGGTACTATATCTAATTTTTCTATTGTTGTAGGCAATTGAAAAAGAGCAAGAATGAGATTAGCTCATTCTTATACGTATAAATATGATGCAACTATATAGTAAAATTTGTATTAGCAAAGTAAATTTTCATCTATACACACAAACATCTAGTTTGAGATACTAACCAGTTTATATATATGCGTTGAATCTATTTTATGCACTACGGCTCAACCGAGTGTACATGTTTCAAAGAGAGAGAAAAGGCAAAGAGCACGCACACACCAGACATGGCCGAGAAATATTGGTACACCATGTCTCCGTCGATCCCCTTTCACGTGTCTCCCTAACAAATTTATCCACCTCCAGATTGATTCGCGTTCATTGAAATACTCGCAACAGATGGTTTTGCTCGCATCCCACCTGACCTTGCCCCTACCCATATCGAGGTGGCAGGGCGTGGCTGCATGGTCTGTTTGGTACTCATCAACTCCTCGCTCAAACGGATGTATCTAGCACTAAAATACGTCTAGATAGATCAAGGAGTTGAGGAGTTAATTATGTCTAGATAGATAGCCCTCGGTCAAATGGGTTGCATGTTAATGGGAAATGAAGAGAATTTGTGGAAAGAGAGAGAGAAGATGTCGAGGAAAGAGTATGTGGGAAGGTCACTTGGCGGTGGCCCAGCTGAACCATGTTTTTTTTCGGCAACATGTTTTCTTTTTTGGCTTGAGTTGCACCATGGTTTAGAGATGCTGAACCATCTGGGTTAGTAGGACCTTCGCTTACTTCCTCCGTTGGTACATATCTTGATGTTTGCTTAGTGTCTTTTTAGTAAACCATCATGGCAGTACAATGAGCACCAGAAATAATAATAAAAATACATTCAGATCCGTAGACCACCTAGCGACGACTACAAGCATTGAAGCGAGCCGAAGGCGCACTGCCGTAATCCCCCTCCCTCGCCGGAGCCGGGCAAAGCTTGTTGTAGCAGACAGTCGAGAAGCCGTCGTGCTAAGGCCTCATATGACCAACGCACCAGAACAGTAACCGCTGCCGATGAATAACGAGATTGGAAGGATACAACCAGAAGACACACGAACAAAAACAAACAAAGACCGAAACCGAGCAGATCCACCAAAGACAACCACTAACCGAATCCTGTGAGATCCGCTGGATACACACCTCCACATGCCCTACGACAATGCTAGACGCACGACCGGGATGGGGGCTGGGCAGGCGAAACCTTATTTCATTTTCAGGGAGCCATCGTCGTTTCGTCTTCTTGAGCAGGACAAAAACCCTAAAAAACTTAAAGACGCACCTAAAAAGGGAGCCCTCCCGCTGGCAAGTGCCTCGATCGACCGCGCACCCATAGTCCTAGGGCCACAGGAGATGTGGCAGATCGGTGGTGCCATCGACAGGAGGTAGAAAGCTAGCCGCCTTTCCTTGGGAGGAGAGATGAAGGGAACTGAGACGCCGTGGTTATGATTATTAATGGTATATGTTTGCTTAGTTAACAATAAGCTGCTACTGCTGCAAAAGAAAGAAAGAAAAACAATATTCCCCTACATACTTATTGCTTTGATGTTAAAACGTTTGTCTCATTCTCTTTCCCTCAAAAAAGTTTGCGAGTCTCATTAGCTTATTTTACTGTGTAAGAAAATGGAAGGAAATGTCCTTCTCATTCACTTAAACATGGCAATGACATATGTCTACCAATGGTCCAGACCATTACTCCATTACGCCATTACTGATGTCTGTCCTTGTATCTTCCCTCCCTATCTGCTCGCTCCAGAAAAGAGAGAGAGAGAGAGAGAGAGAGAGAGAGAGAGAGAGAGAGATGCCCCAGATCCAATCGGACTCCTCCTCGCCACTGCCTCCGGCCAGCTACTGGTGGCTTTGCCCGGAGAGAGCCCTTCCCATTCCCATCGCGAGCTCCATAGCAGCAAACCACCGACCAGGAAGAAGGCTGTTCGGTGCATCATATCATCTTCCTCCCTGTCTACCGAGGCAGAGGCGGCCAAGCCGGATTGATTCAGCTACAGCGAAGAAGAAGAATTCCTGGTACTCATGCAATTGCTGTTATGGTTTTGGTCTTATAATAAACTAACTCATGCGGTATCCGGTGATGGTACGATTGTTATTGTTGGAATATTAATTTTGTTTTCTTCGAGGAAAAACTACTACCATGTCTACCAAGATACTAGCAACAACAAAGTCTTTCTCTAGCAAGAAAGCCTGAGTAGCATTTAAACTAGAGATTAGCCTCCCCTGCCTTATGAACATGATTTCCTTCAAGTCATGCCCCCCTGGAAATTATGCTCATGCTCAACAACTGCTCACTTGGTAGTTAACGACCTTACCATAACTACAAATATGCTTCTTTCAGGGTGGATTCTGGGTGGCGGTAGAGAAGGGGTCATGGAGCAGCCTATAGGCAATCCGAGTGAGCTGTGGAAGAGCCCCAGGGGAACAGTGATTCGTATTGAGGTGCTTGCATTGGTGGCCATTGCCCTCTCCTTCTTCTTTGTGGCTTTTGGGTCCAGCTGCCGCTGGTCCAACCGTTGGATCATTCAAAAAGGTGTCTTGGCTGCAAATGCATTATCTTTGTCCCTTAGGACATATAGCATTGGCCTGATGCAGTCCTCACCGGTGAAGAGTGAGATGTACCCCATCTGGGCCGTATCCTTGCTCACCCTCTTCGGCAGCATTAACTCAGTCAATGGGTACAATCTTGACCACAACAACCAGTTGTTGAAGCTGCTATACCAGCTCTGCCTCTATTGTGGATATGTCCTGCTAATTGGTATCTCCACCATCTCCAGTGATGTAGGTAACATTGCAATCGGTGTTTTGTGTGCCATCACTTTCATTAAGGGTTTTCATAGATCACTGCTAGCAAGTGTGTTGCCGAGCCGATTGCGGAGTGTGAATAAATTGATTGCTGATTGCATGGAGTCAGAAAAGATTAAGGCTACAGACAGACTTTGCGGATGGTCACTTGGCACTGGCAATTTAACCGCCACGATAGATTGCCCTATTTACGTGGTCGACTGGCATTGAACATGTCTAATGGAGTCATCACCACCGATGATATATGGCATTGCGCCAGTTCACCGGGATCGATTGCAAATTCTTATAAGGATGTTTGCATCTCCTTCTCCCTATGTCATTTATTGCAACGACGTTTCTTCGGGTACACAAGTGATGATGAGTTCACCAAGGGCTTGGCCAGGGAGTTTTTCAAAAAAATTGTGCTTGCTGAAATGGATGATGATGACAGTGGGTTTGTCGATGGTGAGAGGGCTTTTAAGGTCATTGAGGTAGAGTTGGCGCTTTTCCCTATGATCTATTCTTCACCAACAATGCTTTCCTTCAATATCATGAATCGAAAGTGGCAACAATTTGGACCTTTGCTTCAATAGCCGGTATATTTTTTGTGGGAATAGTGACTGTCATACCCGGGACATGGACAACACATATTTCTGGTGGTACAGTTGTTGTGACTACCACACCCTATGACCTTGTTATCACGCTTGTAATACTGGCGTCTATTGCTTTGCTCCAAGTGATGCAGTTGGTACGGTGCTGGACATCCAACTGGGCTAGACTTGCCCTGGTGTTCCAGTCTATCAGAAATAAGGGAGAGGAGTGGGGCTGTCTAATGAGGCTAAAAGCATTTCAGGATTAATTGGTTCGACGGTTATGCCTGGCAAGGTAAGCTTGGGCAATATTCATTTGTCGAATCAATTAGCACAAAAGAGTGTGTGATATCGTGGCATGTAGTTTTTCCACTCGGAATTCGCGTCTTTTTTGCAAGGATGCTTGGGTTGCAGTACATTGCACATGTTTACAGGGAAATGTTTGATGGTCCTGCAGGATTTAATCATGTCGTGTTGACCAAAGGTGTGAAGGAAGCCATTATTCTCTCTTATGAATACGAGCATCATGGGCGGATTTAGGCCCCAGGCAGCCCAGGCCATTGCCTGGGGCGTGGGGAATTTCCTCAGCCTATATTTTAAAAAATATACAGTTCGGCCTGGGGCGCAGCCCAGTTCAAAGCCCAAGCAGCCCAGGCCAACTGGCCCAGCCGCCCTGGTCGGCTCCCCACTTCCCCCCGTCCGGCAGCGCCCCACGTCTCCGCCCTTCCCGCCTTCTTCGTGCGGCAGCGCCCCCGGCTCCCCCCTTCCAGCCTTCCATCTAGGTTGCGCCGCTACCGGGCTGCTATCCTGCCTGCTGTCCGACCAGGTGGTCCTAAAAAATCAGCCGTGCTGCCCTGCACAAAGGTACTGGTTTGATATTGATGGCTTGATGCCCATGTGATGCCACTATTTTTGTTTCCAGATGCCACATTGCCACTGTTTGATGATGATTTTAGTTGCTAGATGCCATAGTTTGTTAGATGTGGAAACCAATTTAGACATCGAGTAACTTTTGTTTCTATAAGATTTTACAGGAAGACAAGATCAGCATGATAGTGCTTATAATAAATCTAGGCAACATTATGAGGATTTAAAAAATCAAAGACAAAGTCTGTGACATGTGTTTGATAGGGGTTCTCAGAAGCAAGAAGACGAATACAAAGCTGGTCTCTTGATTATATTGGGTATTTTCAGATTGTTGGTACTACAAGCTATTGTTTTTCATGGTCATGATAAGTCTACTAGCTCAATGAACAAGGGTAACTTTAAAGAGTTGATGGATTTGTTCACAAAGAAAGACCCGAAGATGGAAAAAATATTTGGCGATGCAAGAGATAACCATAAACTGACTTCACATAAGATACAATTGGATTTATGCAAGGCTTGTGCACAAGAGACCATCAAAGTCATCGAGGAGATTGTAATTTGCACTACTTGTTGATGAGTCGAGAGATGCTTCTATGAAGGAGAAAATGGCTATGTGTTTGAGGTCAGTACCTTTGCTCGTATTGTATGTAGGTATCTTGCTCATTTGTCTTATGTACCACCATAGTTTTATATATTAATCATGCTCATTTGTCTTATTTAAGTATCTTAGCAAACGGGGGGAGGTGATTGAGAGATTCATGACAGTTGAGCATGTTCCCGACAGGAGAGCAACTTCACTGAAGGTAGCTTTGGATGGTATGTTTGGTATCAATCTTTGTATCATCTATATATATGGTATATATATTGTCCTTTGATTTGTCTTGCTTTATTAGTTGACACATCATGAAACAAATGTTGTTATTGAATATTATGTTTGGTTTCTTATTAGTTATGCAACATATATTGACTTTTGTATGCCTTGAAACTGGAGTTTTTTGGGGTGTACTTTTTAGCCCTTGGTTTCTCGCCTGGGGCGTCAGCCAATCCTGGGTCCGCCATTGACAAGCATAGTGAAGGTAAACTAGCTGATTGGACTGTTGGTCGTACGAGCAGAGATTTTACGGCGGATGGAGTAACTGGACCGAGAACCATTTTGGCTTGGCACACTGCGACTTGTTACCTGGAAATGGGGCAATCGAGGAATGAAAATTGGCTTGATGAGCACTCTGTAGAAGAAGGGAGTGAGCACTCTGTAGAAGAAGAGAGAGAGAGAGAAACTGGCGGTATATTATGATGTTGCCACAACACTGTCCAAATACTATGCATACTTGATTGTCTCTGCGCCAGAGCTGCTTCCTCCAAAGCCCTCGGACACGAAATATGCTTATAATGCAGTTCGACGGGATGCAAGGCGATTGCTGCGTGGGGCCAAAGACAAATATGAGAAAATGAAAAGTCTGGACGACTGGCCTGGAACTGGGGAGAAGCCTTGAACATGAACCTGGAATTGGGGCGTTTGGTCTCTGGAAGGGGCTGGCGGAATTCTGGGCCAACAGGTTGAGGATCTCGGCGCCGTCCGACAATGTGAAGGAGCACATTGACCGTCTCTCGCGGGGCGGCGAGTTCATCACCCATATCTGGGCTATGCTGTATGCCACCGGCATAGTCAAACAAACGCAGGTAACGCCTTCCTTCCTTCCGAAATGGCTGACTTTTTTTTAATGCAATACAGACAAAAACGCTCATACATATGTACATACACCCTATCTTGTAAGCACCTCTAAAAGACTGAGCTGGCTTATTAGTACTTCCTCCGTCTGTGAATAAGTGTACATCTAACTTTGATCTAAGTCAAAGTTTTAAAATTTTGAGCAATTTTATCAAAAATAGTTGTAACATATATGACATCACATTGCTATATTATATTTCAAACCGGATCTAGCGGTACTAATTTAGTGCCATAAATGTTTTTACTTTTCTCTAGAAAGTTGGTTAAAGTTTTAAAACTTTGACTTAAGACAAAAGTTAGATGTACACATTCACGGACGGAGGGAGTACGTACTATCGGGGAGCATTATGCTTCTCGTATGCTACTACTCAACCATTCGTTGGTTCGTTCAATTCAAACTTGTAACTGAGTACGGCTGCAAATGCTACTCCCTCCATCTAGGTGCATAAATCATCCTAGGTTGTGCACCACAACCAAGGCGGAGGAAAAAACAATAAATCTTAATGTTTATTTGCTAATTAATAACATTGCATGCAATGAACTAATCTGCATGTCATGTTTGATAGTCTCAAGTCATTGAAAGCATGAACACCCTACATCTTTTATTGGTTGCTAGGTTTAGAAATAAAAAACGAGGTGGGAGTTAATGTATGCACTGCGCCTAAGTGTTTTGAAGTTATTTGGTTTTCGTAAGGTGACTTATACATCTCAACGGAGCGAGTACCAGTATAAAAATTAGCCTAGAGTCTCTATTATGATCAGGTGAGTAGGAGCACATAAGTAAATGACTAAATTAAGGACTAAAGTAGAGTAATTTCCAATCTCTCCACTACAGGTTCCGGCAGAGAGGGGAAACAATGATGAATTACATGCCTTTCCTTGTTTCTCTTTAAAGTACGTACTAGACTAGTGTGTTAATTACGTAATTATTCGGGGTCCTTGCAGATGGAACTCCCAGATTACGGTCCTTTGAGACACCTAGACTTTCTGAATTTATGCTCACTGGGGCGTGACGATGCCGCGCAGTCTACAAGCTGCGCACTGGACAATATGGGATGCGATTACTCCACTCCAGGTCCACCATTCGGCATGAGTGGTGATCTATATCGAAACAATGAACAAAAATGAAGATGCCGCTGCCGCTGATCTTGGTGACGTACGTACTATGCTATGTGTTGTCTTGCTTCATTGAATTGTACTACTGGTATTTTTTGTACTTTCCCGAGATGAAATGTAATGCAAACCTGAGAGGTGGGATTATTATAATTTATAACCGGAGTGAATATCTGAGTTACTAAGACTAGCCGCAATGGAGAGTAACATACACTAGTAACATACACATATCCCTAGACTATGTTACTATCTTCATAGTGGGTAATAACATAAGTGTGGTAACATACACAGCTTCATTTATTAGGTTATAGACTCATATTGGTAGCCGCATATGTTTCAAAATCCTTTTCAACAAACCGGATGAAATTTATGCAAACACGGACGGACTTCATATAACACATGACGAATTTCATATAAACCAGACGAAAACATTTACACCTCGGACATATTTTCAAAGGTAAAACTATGTGCACGTATGGTCGTGCGGAGCTCCACTCCTACAACATGAATACATTACAGTAGTCTACAGGCGGCCACGGCGGATCCCTTTGTCTTCCCCATGTCCGGCAGACCGCTCACCGGACTGTCGGGAGCCCCGAAGGTATATTCTTCCCCTGTATCTTTCCCATGTCCGGCAGACCGCTCACTAGACAGCCGGGAGCCCCGGAGGTATATTCTCCCCCCGTATGGTCCCCATGTCCGGCAGAGCTCTCACCAAACAGTCGGGAGCCTCGGAGGTATATTCTTCCTCT